CGGGTGCTGTGTCCCCGGCGCCCCGCGAGGAGGTCCTGCTGGGCTTGGTCAAGCTGGGCCAGCAGAACCACCTCCTGCTCCTGCAGGAACTCCTGGAGCTGCCGGAAGGTTTCCAAGAGACCCTGCCGCTCCGAGGCCACCTCCTCCTGCAGGGCAGCCACGGGGAGGACCCTGAGCCAGCCCAGCCCCTGGGAGACTCCAGACCAGGATGGTGGGGAAAAGGAGAAAGGAGGGTTTGGGGAGAAAAAGCTGGGCCAGGGGGAGGGGAAGAGGGTGGTCAGCCCGGGTTTTGGTGGCTGCAGGATGACAGCAGAGTTGGAATGAGAGATGGAAGGAGGATCGAGGGAAGGGCAGAGAGGGAGGGAAAACAGTTGTGTTATGGAAAAGGAGATAAAGGTACATGGGAGGGGGTGATGGGACGTGTCTGTGAGGAGGGGTGAGCAGGCAGGACATGGGGAGAGGGACATACCAGCAGGGCTCTGCTCTCCTCTTCTCCCCTGGGCTTCAGGTCTTCTTTCTCTTTTTGTAGAAGAGCCAGGTTGCTCTGGAGAGTCTCCTGGAGAATAAAACCAAACAAAAATAACTTTTAAAAATTGCATTGGGTGATTTTGGGGTCGTGTTAGTGAGATGGTGTCACCAAACAGCCCCTGTGGGGACAACACTGCTCTGCAGGGTTCTGGGGGTGGGTTCTGAGCTGGGGGAGCAGCACCCACCCCTGCCCACAACCCGGGAGATCCCGGGTGCTGCCAGCCTGGCCAGAAACAGTTCTGGAAGAGCTTCATGTGGAAACCCTGAAGTTTGTGGTTTGGGTTTTGTTTTTGTTTTCTGGTTTGTTTTCTTCTTTTTTTTTCTGTGGTTTTGTTTTTTTTTTTAATTAGGAAAACCCAACTTTCAGTGTTGCAAGTGGGATGTGTGGGAAGTGTCTGCAGGGACAGCAGGGCTGTGGCTCAGACACACTCCATGAAGTTGCTGGAGCAAAATCGTGCTGGGGGGGGGGAGACCCCAGCCCCTGTTCTCAGGGGGAGACCGTGTCCCCTGCGGCTGCAGCCCCAGCCCTGTCCCCAGCTGGGGACACACGGGGCACGAGGGACCTGGCAGGGTGACAGCAGGGTGAGCAGCAAGAGGGACCTGCCTGGAGGGGCTGAGGGGGGTGAGAGGCAGTGAGAGCCAGCAGGGGGGTGGGATATGGGACCCCAGCCCATGGCCAGGTGGGAACATGAACCCCTAGCCAGCCTGGGACCCCAGACAGCAGCTGAACAGGGACCCAAATCAGTGCCTGGAGGGGACCCTGCCCTGTGCCCTGAGGGGACCCCAGCCAGTGCTCAGATTGGGCCCAGAGAGGAACCCGACCTGTTCTTGGAGGGGACCCAGCCCGTCCCAGGGGGGACCCAGACCCACGCCCAGGGGGGACCCAGACCCATGCCAGCATGGGCACGAGGGTGCAGGAAGGACTGCCTTGCCTTCACCCCTTGCTCCATGTGCACACTGGAGCCCTCTCCAACTGGTGACCCCCATCAGGGACCTTGGAGAAGTCCTAGGAGCACCCTGGCAGATGCCACAGCCCTGCCATCCACCACCTCAGCAGCTTTACCAGACCAATGCCACCTGCCAAAGGTCTTCTTCCCAGCTCAGAGCCACCTCTTCTGCACCACAGGGAAACCCACGTGCTGGCCCTGGCCGAAGTCAGCTCTGCCCATGGGAGATGGGGCTTGCACACATCCATAGAAACACATATATCTATATATATATATCTACCTATGTATTTTTGCATACATTTGTGGTGACGGTACCATTTTTTTTTATATAAACAATCCGTCCATAAATGTCACGGAAAATCCTGGTCTCCTTTTATTAAACCTGAAAAATGTGTATAAATGTAAATAACAAATGACTGATACAGG